CCAGGAGTTCTTTAGAGGCATTTTTGTGGCCAAACGTGCGTGTCCCCATTGACTTCAATGGGGTTGGTGGTCAAGTTCGAGCCCGAACCCCAACATCCATAGAAACATAGAAACATAGAATGTGACAGCAGATAAAAACCATTCGGCCCATCTAGTCTGCCCAATTTTCTAAATACTTTCATTAGTCCCTAGTCTTATCTTATAGTTAGGATAGCCTTATGAATATCCCACACATGCTTAAACTCCTTTACTGTGTTAACCTCTACCACTTCAGCTGTCCAGCTGTCCGCTCAACTCTATTCCTTATATCTTACATATGATGCCTCTGATTTGCCCAATGTAAATGTTTTAGATTATCGTTTCTTAATTTTAATCTCTTGGTTTACTTTTCATATTTATTACCCAGTGGTGAGTAGTGAGAATGTACCTTTCTAATAATATTTTATTGAAGTTATTCCATTTATCCTCAGTGTTATCTTCACTAAAGATTATTTGCCAGTCAATACGTTGTAACACTGTCCGTATCGTACTGAAATTGGCCTTTTTAAAATTATATTTTTTAGTATACCCCTTGTACTTTTGTTTTTTGAGTTTGTTTTAAAAGTCACCATATAGTGATCACTATTTACTAAGTGCTCCCTGTCACGAGCGTGGGCTATAGGCCCAGCCGAGACAGTGGGGAGAGTGTGGAAGTGACAGGGTTAATGACACCAGACGCCTGGTTACCTGTTGCTAGTCCCAGCAACCACTCAATTAACCCCTGCAATCCCTTCTACACCAACCCCCTTAGTACACACTTTACTGCCACCACCAAGACTTTTAAACCCGGGCGTCTTAGGTTACCCCACACACAGGAGAATTATAGTATCACAGTTCTGCTTTTACTGATAAAACATATATAGTTAACCCTTTTTGGTAACGTGTTTACCTGAGCTTTCCTCTGGAGAGTGAAGCTCATAGAGAACAGAGACACAAGCTGATTAAGTAAACATTTAATCTGACAAAAGGATTCACAGTGCTGAGAACAAAATACAGAAATAAATGACATACAGATAACAAATTGCAAAACAGTACATAAAATAAAATAGGAGAAAACACAAGAAATTCCTTACATGTAGAATTCTTGTGGGAGTCTTAAATGGTATAGGTCTCCTAGAAGTTGCTGACAAAAGAAAAAATGAATAACTGAACTCCCTGGATAGTCCAACACCCTCATATATCTAAACTAGTTGTTTCTCAGTGGGCAGACCCCTGGGGGGGGATCAGAGGGGGTTGGTCTAGAAGTCTATTGCCCACTCTATGAAATTCCTTGTGTCCAGCTCTGGTGATGGCTATCTAGATGTTTTATGGTCTAGGCCTGGTGCAAGATCAAAGACCACAATAAATGTCATCCCAAGGTTTACAAAAAAAAACAACTCTTAACATATATAAACACACATTAAACACCAACTCATGCTTTTGGCATGACACCTCCCCCTTAAGATGGTGGACAGAAAAATGCAGCCACAGGCTGATTTATCTGTCTACCATTAACCCTCTAGTTGCCGAGACAGGCCATCTGCATTCTCATGCAAGCTGCCCTTTTTGTGCTGGGCAGTGAAATTATACTGTTGGAGGATAGGGTTTTATCATTGTTACCTGTCACCTGCAGCAGGTTGTGATCAGTCCATACCACAGCTACACCCTCAACAAACATGCCTGATTTGCCTGTTTCAATTTCCCATGGATCTCTGGTAACATCCCTTAAACCACACCCACTGCGCTCATGTAGTAGCTGTAAGGGGAAGAAACCAATGGATTTCTGCAGCACTCCCCGGTAAGCACACAAAAAAGCAGACAGAGAACACTCCCAGAATAGATGCGCTGTATCAACACCCATCATCTCTTTCATTTTGCGGTCTGTCTGCTGGGCTTGTTGCACTATCAGACTCTGAACCTTTGGTTCACAATCAGAAAGTTGCTCAGGTGTAAGCGTGAGTTGTGATAAACTGACAAGGTTCCTGGTTCCTCCAACAGTATGTTTCCCTGCAGCTATCCTTCCTGGACCCACAGGCTGAGTGTCCGTGCCCCTCACTTTCACTCCAGGTCATCACACATACAGAACTTTGAAAACTGGCTAAGTCTGGCGCAGAGTAAAGCTCACACACCCTCTGCCCTCCCTCATAGCCTCGCTGTCCCTTCACATTTTCACCCAGTGCATCACATACATCTGCTTCAGGCACATATATTCCTTCAGGCCCCTCTCGCTGGAAGGCTTTTCCCATACATTTTCACAGGACACATTTGACCCCCCTTGATCAGATACAGAATTTTGCACACACTCACATAATTTCTTCTCCAAGGAAGGCCATCCTCTCGCAATCTCACATAGCCCCTCAGACTCTGCAGCCGTGACCCACTGCTGACTTGTTACCCTGGCTCTCACCTTCCTCCTCTCCCTTACTCTCTGACATCCCAGCCTCACAGTATTTTGATACAGGCACATCACTACTCACTCCTATCTCACATTTGCTAGACATCACTGGTTCAGTTACAGGTAGATATTTATCCACACCCTGCTCTCCCTCCCAGCAATCACAGTTCACAATGTCTCCCATAGTTTCACACAATACCTTAGGTGGAGCAGTCAGCCCCTCTGGCTCACAAACAGTGTCCTCTGGAGCATAGTGACAGAGCATCCTGCCCAAATCATTTCCCAACAGAACATTAACAGGGATATCCTCCGAAATCCCCACTTCCCGCAAACCTTTTCCCGCACCCCAATCAAGGTACACACGTGCCAAGGGCACAGCGGGGCGTACACCCCCAATTCCTTTGATGGACATGGTTCTTCCAGGGATTATATCCTCCGTATTCACCACTTCAGGTCGCACCAGGGTGAAGGAAGCTCCAGAATCTCTCAGTCCCATGGTCACTCGGTCACCCACAATTACACTCTGCAGGTTATCCTCTTGTTTCCCCACGGACCCACCCACAAGCAATACTGATGGTGCCCCTCCACGGACTGGTGAGGGCATATTCCTAGTGGGGCAAGTCATGCTCAGATGACCAATCTGGTTGCATTGAAAACAACGGCGGTCATCTGACTCACTTGACATAGCCCTGGCTACGCTGGCAGTCGGCGGTGAAGTTCTCACTGCAGATCTTACAGGTGGTGATTGAACTGTAGCTTCTCTCCAGGTCGAAGTAGCAGCTGACACAAGTCCACGCCTGGATGTGGGTGCATGGATGTTGGCATAGTCATTTGCCAGTTTTGCAGCAGCCCTAGCATTTTTTGGCTTTCTTTCCAAAATCCACTCTCGTACATTAGGGCTCCGGGTCTGCAAGAACTGCTCCAGGACCATTAAGTCATTAAGGGCTTCATAGGTAGTAGCTTGTACTCCCGTTACCCATTGCCGGAACGTGGTTTCTAATTGTGCAACATATAGAATGCAGCTGGATGATGGGCATTGCTGCATACTCCTAAACTTTTTCCTGTAAGACTCAGGAGTAAGGTTAAAAGTTTTTTACAATGCAGATTTGATTGCCTCATAGTTGTTATCAGTCTCTGGGGGAAGGGACACAAACACATCCAAGGCTTTCCCTTTCAATTGTGGAGTTAAATATCTGCCCCATTGGTCTGAAGGTAGTTGATGCTGCCTGCATACTTTCTCAAAACTTTTTTAAAATACATCCAAATCTGTCCCTTCTTCGAGGGAAGGAAAATCATCCTTACGGAGCCTACGTGTGCTGGACTCTGATGCATTGCTGTTCAGTGAGGACTGAAGGGTAAATTGCAGTTTAGCAAGTTCCAGCTCATGTCTCCTTTGTGCCTCCCTTTCGGCTAGCCTCTCTGCAGATTCCCTTTCTGCAGCATGCCTTTGCGCTTCCCTTTCGGCTAGCCTCTCTGCAGATTCCCTTTCTGCAGCATGCCTTTGCGCTTCCCTTTCGGCTAGCCTCTCTGCAGATTCCCTTTCTGCAGCCTGCTGTTGGATCATCACATGCAGGGCCTCCTGAGGATTTGCAGCCATCAGTTGCCGAAATAAATCAGTTGAGCAAATGTCCTTAATGTTTTGAGGAGTACAACCACCAGACATTTCAGTAAGCAACACTCCTGCAGTAGTAGGGAGCTCGGTAACCCTTTCAGTATCCGTCTCTGGCTGGAAAATATGGCTGTCAGCCTCCACAAGGTCAGCAATAAGTTGTGCCTTATTTTTGCCAAAAGTTGGTAAATTCTTTTCTTGGCACAACAATTCCAAGGCCTCTTTTGATTGTTTGCGATAGGCCTCCATATTCACAAATAGGATAGAGAAAGAAAAACAAAAGATGGGAGGGGAGAACTGTTTTGCACTTTGTATGTATTTTAAATCAGCACTGAGCTTGGTCTTTGGAAATTACACAAAAACAAGTATGCAATTTCTTTTAGTGCTAAGACCCCCTTTACAGGTAAAATCTAGCAAGCACTAAAAATCTCTAAATATATCCCACCAGCTGCCGCCAGTTTGTCACGAGCGTGGGCTATAGGCCCAGCCGAGACAGTGGGGAGAGTGTGGAAGTGACAGGGTTAATGACACCAGACCACTGGTTACCTGTTGCTAGTCCCAGCAACCACTCAATTAACCCCTGCAATCCCTTCTACACTAACCCCCTTAGTACACACTTTACTGCCACCACCAAGACTTTTAAACCCGGGCGTCTTAGGTTACCCCACACACAGGAGAATTATAGTATCACAGTTCTACTTTTACTGATAAAACATATATAGTTAACCCTTTTTGGTAACGTGTTTACCTGAGACAAAAGAAAAAATGAATAACTGAACTCCCTGGATAGTCCAACACCCTCATATATCTAAACTAGTTGTTTCTCAGTGGGCAGACCCCTGGGGGGGTGTGGGGGGGGAGAAATCAGAGGGGGTTGGTCTGGCAGTCTATTGCCCACTCTATGAAATTCCTTGTGTCCAGCTCTGGTGATGGCTATCTAGATGTTTTATGGTCTAGGCCTGGTGCAACAACTCTTAACATATATAAACACACATCAAACACCAACTCATGCTTTTGGCATGACACTCCCCTACTTGAATGTCGGTCAAAAGATCCAGACAAGGATGCTTTCTAGTTAGTGCTGGTACCTGATGTGACATGGTATTATTTAACACGTCCAAAAATCAGATTTCCCTTGTTGAACTACCAGTCCCTCTATCCCAAAATATGTCCAGGTAAGTAAAATATCCAATAATTAACGTGTTACCAAGATGTGCAGCTTTCCCAATTTGCTCTAACAGCTGTTCTTCCTCATCAATATTAACATTAGGTGGTGTTTGGTGTTTACAAAATTCACTTTGTTTAGCAGATCACAGCTGTTCTTACATAATGAAATGTAGAACCAGGGCTTGCAATATTTATGTTTGCTGCAAGGCCTTATGTAGATGGATGGACAGATAGAGAGAATGATAGCCTATTTAATCTTGTTTAAGCATTTAACTTCCACTACAGCCACAGGAGTTAGCCAAGGATTTGACTAGCCAAAGGTGATCTGCTATGGGACTCCTACAACTATGGATGGCTAGCTTTTTTGTAATGGTGTATTGTAGCTCATAAAAGGTAATTATTTTAAAGTTTTAAAAATGTGTTCATTCACCTTACTTCTTGTGATGAAGTTCTGTACTCTATCTAAATATCTTTGTCAATCCTTTTCCAGCAGGACACCTTCGGTGATTATAACAGCTCACCCAAACATCAGCTGAGACTTAATGAAGGGTGAAAACAGAGTGTACTTTATTGATCCAAGTCACACATATTTATACAGCGTAGAATGTATTTTACATCTGCAGGGATGTTTAAAACAATAGAAAAAGGTTTCATCCAAAGCACCACTGTGTCTGGGCTGATAAGAATTCATTAGATTAGCTCAGAGCTAATGATGTTTCTACTGTGCTATGTCCTCTCTAGACAGGGAAGCCAGGGAATCTGTGTCCCAAAAGTCCCTTTCCCAATACTAACAATAGCCCCTTTATGATTCTTTAGGGACTGACTCCTGGGACTGTATTCCTAGTCTGTGTGCAGGAAGCTGGCCTCCATGAGCCACGGGCCACAAGCTCACACCTGTCTGTAAGTATATATAATAAAAGGATTGGTTATAGTTTCTATTTAGTATAGAAAATCTTGTGAAAGCAAAGTCAAACATATGTACTCCGTTTGGAACAAAAAATAAGTTGATTACTCATTGAACCACTTTCCTCACTCAATTTCAAGAAAATACTTGTTACGAGAAAAAAACAAAACATTCCTTCCTCCTTCCTTAATTATATTAAACAATTCATCACATGCTTTTAGAAATCCCTGGAGCTAACAATGATTCTTGAATTTCATTAGTTAATCACTTATAATAAACAACCATGTATATTCAAGTTAATACTATTTATAGGCTTTTACTACAGAGTTAAGTACAATTATTTGGAATTCAATAAACAATTTACTGTGACCACCGCTAAACATTAATACAACATAATCTTAGGAGAATATACCGTATATACTCGAGTATAAGCCGAGTTTTTCAGCACATTTTTTGTGCTGAAAACCCCCAACTCGGCTTATACTCGAGTCAGTCTGTATTATGGCAATTTACATTGCCATAATACAGACTGGGGGTTGGCAGAGTTGTTACTTACCTTCCTGCAGCTCCTGTCAGCTCCCTCCTCCTCCGCGCCGGTCCGTGCAGCACCTCGGTCAGCTCCCAGTGTAAGTCTCGCGAGAGCCGCGGGGTCATAGTGTGGCTCTCGCGAGACTTACAGTGTGAGCTGCCAGAAGAGCTGCACGGACCGGCGCGGAGGAGGAGGGAGCTGACAGGAGCTGCAGGAGAGGTAAGTAACAACTCTGCCAACCCCCCTCCTCCCCCCACTGAACTGCCAATGGACCACCAGGGAAGGAGAGCCCCCCTCCCTGCCATGTATCAAGCAGGGAGGGGGGACAACAAAATAAATAAATTAATAATATATTAATAATAATAATAATAAAAAAAAATAATAATATAACAAAAAAATGAAAATATTAATTAATAATATATAAATAATAATAATAAAAAAAATAATATAACAAAAAAAATTAAAATAATATTATTATTTTTTTTTTTATAAAAATGCCCACCCCCCCCACCAAGGCTCTGCCACACACACACACACACACTGCATCACACACACTGCATCACACACACACACACACTGCATCACACACACACACACTGCATCACACACACACACACTGCACTCATATACACACACTGCACTCATACACACACACTGCACTCATACACACACTGCATTTATGCACACACACTGCACTCATACACACACACTGCGCACTCATACCACACTGCATTTATGCACACACACTGCATCACACACACACACTGCACTCATATACACACACTGCACTCATACACACACTGCATTCATACACACACACTGCATTCATCATATACACACATTGTAAATAAATATTCAATTAATATAATTTTTTTAGGATCTAATTTTATTTAGAAATTTACCAGTAGCTGCTGCATTTCCCACCCTAGTCTTATACTCGAGTCAATAAGTTTTCCCAGTTTTTGGGGGTAAAATTAGGGGCCTCGGCTTATATTCGGGTCGGCTTATACTCGAGTATATACGGTAAGTGGGTGGTTTTTTTTTTTTGTTTTTTTTTTTTAAATATAAACTGTTAGAAACAGTGTTTAAAATAATATAAAGCTCTGTTTTGATAGAAATATGTGCTTTTCTTCACTTCCCTTCATTTGTTCATTGAAGTACCACAGGGGGTGGCCACAGTTTCCTGACTGGGCTGAGGTCTTTATGACACCACATCCACAAACAACTTCTAATATTAATCACAACAGAAGAACAAACCTAGGTTTGGTGTTTCTTTTTTTTTTTTGTAAATCTGTTTTTATTAGATAGAGTAATGGTAGTACAGCTTATTCGGTTCAGTGTTCAGCAGATTGAGGTCACGTACGACCTGTGTGTATCTGCTGCAATATGTTCAAATAAGGCACAAGCATAACATTCGTTCCTGAGAACAACTCCGTTGCCACTTAACATTATGGCAATCTAGACAACCAACGTTCAGATTATATTGCTTAACTAGTACATAGTTCCTGTCGTTACCCCTCAGGGTGCATTTATATTACGTGATCGGTCAGCCACGAGCTCTCCCTAGCTCTTTTGTGGGTGTTCGTAGTGGGTGTGGGAACCTATGAAGGTTGACGTCGTATGCAGTATGTTTTAGGTAGCTATGCGTCGTGTCAGAAACCTATGGACTTGCTAAACTTATGTTTTGGTAAAGTGTCTGTGGTAGGTGGTGGGGAATCATGGTTACCCTATCCGTGCTACCTTGTCTGTCCTTGTGCCATGCGTCTGTTTGTGGGTCTACCTCTTCTAACTGTATATCCGTGTTTTGTAGCTCTAATGGTAGTGTGTCTTGTTTGTTTTTTCCTCGGGGTATGTGACAATGGCGTGTCTACGTTAAGTTGGTTGTGCGCGTGTGTATATGGGAAGGAAAGTGGGTGGATTGTAGTCACGAGAGTCGTGATAGAGAAAAGAAAAGAAAAAAAAAAGGGAAAGGAAAAGATTAAGGGTAGAGTATTTAGCTATGAGAGGAGATAAGGGCCTCGCCCCGAAGGCCCGGGTCCCCCCCCGCAAGCCTCTCTCGATTCATCCTATCGAATCCTGGATATAAATGTAAACCACGGGCGCCACAGTTCTGCATGTTTATCTCCCCTACTCAGTAGAGATGCTTGCATCGCCTCCGCCCCCTGAATGCCCTCCACCCTACGGATCCACTCCTCCACGCTGGGGGTCTCTGTCTTTTTCCAATATATAGGGATCAGAGCCCTGGCAGCGTTGAGTAAGTGGCGTAATATCGACTTTTTATACCTTGGTATCGGCAGTTGTGATATATGCAGTAGTGCCAAGGCTGCTGTCCATGTGGGTATTTCTCCCAGGACTTCGGTTATGTTTTGTCGTATCATTTCCCAGAAGGGAGCAAGAGTGTTGCACTCCCACCAGATGTGTATCATCGTGCCCTCTTCCTCTTGGCACCTCCAACAGGTCGGGGGGGTTGATGGGAAGATCCTATGGAGGAGGGCTGGCGTTCGGTACCATAGCGCAATTATTTTGTAATTTGTTTCCTGATAGAGTGAGCTAGTGCAGCTCTTGTGTTGCCAGATTAAGGCGGTCTCCCATTGCGTGGGTGTGAAGGTAGTGTTGAGCATGGTCTCCCAGTGTCTGCGGAAAGTGTCATTTTCCGTGAGGTGTCCAACTAAGAGGTGTTGATAAAATATGGATATTGCCTTCCCCATAGGAGTGCCTCTCTCGCACATTGTCTCGAACCACGTTGGGACTCTATGTAGGCGCTCTTTATCACGCATGCGATTGTAGAAGTGTGTCACTTGCATATACCGGAATGCTATGAGATGGGTCCGGGGTGTATCCCCCAGCAGGGAGTCCAGGGTCCTTATATTGCCGTCCTGTAGTATCTTCATGATTGGGATGTATTCGCGGCCTCCTCCGAAAGGTAGGGATGTCGATGTGAGCCCACCCCCTATTGCATCATTATATGTGATAGACATCATGGGGCTCGGTGTGGGCGAGACGTGTACCTGTTCCCTCATGCGTCTCCAGCTGATGAGCGTTTGTGCTACAATTCCCTCCTTTGCCCGGTCTAGGTTTACGTTCGTCCGTTTCCCCCACACTGCGGCCTGTAGGTGTGCCCCCCGTCCCTCTTGTGCCAGAGATACCCATTGTTTGCGTTGTTGCGGATCTGCGTGCAGGTCTAGGATGCATTGCATGACAGTAGCTTGATGGTATCTTTTAAAGTCGGGTAGTGCCAGGCCCCCTATGTCGTGGCAAGCATAGGATTTCGTGACGGAGTCTTGAGCGTTCGCCTCTCCAGACGTAGTGGATGACTGCTGATTTCAGCTTGGCAAAGAAGGATGAGGGTATTGCTAACGGAGTCATCTGGAACAGATATAGGAGTCTCTGTAGGATGTTCATTTTCAGGACTGCAACGCGTCCATGCCAGGAGACTTGTGGATATGCCCATTTAGTTAGGTCCGTCAGTATAGTATTCAATAGCGGCGCGAAATTTTGTGAGTACAGGTCTTTCGGGTCTTTCGTTATCCATATCCCAAGGTACCTCATTTTACATGAACACCACCGGAAGGGGAATAGTGCTGCTAGTG